GGGGGGGGGGGGGGGGGGAAGGGGCTGAACATTTGAAAGAATGTGTTGTCGTCGGCTACGAGCCCGTGTGCCAAGTTTCAGCTCGATAAGTTGACGGGAAGTGGGTCAATTGGCTGTCCGAAGATTTTACCACCCAGCCACAAACACCCGAACAAAAGCGAAGTTCATGTAAAGGGTTTTTGTTTTTTTTAAGCAGCCGCACACAAGTGAAACCAACAAAGGTCGGTACAGTCATCTTGACAAGAATCCTATGCTATCCGCTTACCCCCGTTAGTTCTATAGATAACGAGAAGACAGTGCAGAGGGGTGGGGGTGGGGGTGGATTATTTTACTCTGTGGTCTCTGAACACAAGGACTTCTGTTTCCTACGCTAGTTAGGGTTTCAAGAAATAACGTTGAACTTCGGAAGCAAAAGGACGAATGAAACATGGTAGCCAGGGTACTGCAAGCCGCATTAATAAAGACACTGACTTTAATTGAATTTTTAACCAGAAACTTAAACAGCTGGTTGGTGAAATAAGTCGACCACCGAGCTATTAGTGCGAAGGTTTTGATTTGTGGGTTTGAGTTGTGGTTTTTGGGTTGTGATGTTGTGGGTTGTGAGGTGTGGTTGTTTCCATGTCTGATAAATTTTAGTATTCATTAAATTTTTGAACACCCAACAAATGCTGGACACGCGATCAGGATGTAGTGGTTGTGAGGCTTTCTTATTCCCATGATGTGGCTTAGGCTGGTGTAGTGGAGTTTAGAAATGAAGGTGTTGTAATGGTGTTGAGATGTAAGGCTGTGGTAATGTTTTTTGGATGCGAGGTTCTGGTAGTGGTGTTGAGATGTAAGGCTGTGGTAATGTTTTTTGGATGCGAGGCTCTGGTAGTGGTGTTGAGATGTGAGCCTGTGGCAATGGTGTTGAGATGTGAGCATGTGGCAATGGTGTTGAGATGTCAGTAAGTAGTAATGGTGTTGAGATGTCAGTATGTAGTAATGGTGTTGAGATGTCAGTATGTAGTAATGGTGTTGAGATGTGCGGCTGGGGTAATGGTGTTTAGATGTCAGGTTTTGACAATGGTGTTGAGGTCATCTGAGGCTGTGGTAAAAGTGTTTAGATGTGAGGCTGTTATATTGGTGTTTAGATGTGAGGCTGTGGTAATGGTGTTTAGATGTGAGGCTGTGGTAATGGTGTTTAGATGTGAGGCTGTGGTAATGGTGTTTAGATGTGAGGCTGTGATAGTGGTGTTCAGATGTGAGGCTGTGGTAATGGTGTCAGCTGTGAGGCTGTGGTAATTGTGTTTAGATGTGAGGCTGTGATAATTGTGTCAGATGTGAGGCTGTGGTAATGGTGTTCAGATGTGAGGCTGTCATAATTGTGTCAGATGTGAGGCTGTGGTAATGGTGTTCAGATGTGAGGCTGTGGTAATGGTGTTCAGATGTGAGGCTGTGGTAATTGTGTCAGATGTGAGGCTGTGGTAATTGTGTTTAGATGTGAGGCTGTGGTAATTGTGTTTAGATATGAGGCTGTGATAATTTTGTCAGATGTGAGGCTGTGGTAATTGTGTCAGATGTGAGGCTGTGGTAATTGTGTCAGATGTGAGGCTGTGGTAATGGTGTTCAGATGTGAGGCTGTGATAATTGTGTCAGATGTGAGGCTGTGGTAATGGTGTTCAGATGTGAGGATGTGATAATGGTGTCAGGTGTGAGGCTGTGGTAATTGTGTTTAGATGTGAGGCTGTGATAATTGTGTCAGATGTGAGGCTGTGGTAATTGTGTTTAGATGTGAGGCTGTGGTAATTGTGTCAGATGTGAGGCTGTGGTAATTGTGTTCAGATGTGAGGCTGTGATAATTGTGTCAGATGTGAGGTTGTGGTAATGGTGTTTAGATGTGAGGCTGTGATAATTGTGTCAGATGTGAGGCTGTGGTAATTGTGTTTAGATGTGAGGCTGTGATAATTGTGTCAGATGTGAGGCTGTGGTAATGGTGTTCAGATGTGAGGCTGTGATAATTGTGTCAGATGTGAGGCTGTGGTAATGGTGTTCAGATGTGAGGCTGTGATAATGGTGTCAGATGTGAGGCTGTGGTAATTGTGTTTAGATGTGAGGCTGTGATAAATGTGTCAGATGTGAGGCTGTGGTAATTGTGTTTAGATGTGAGGCTGTGGTAATTGTGTCAGATGTGAGGCTGTGGTAATGGTGTTCAGATGTGAGGCTCTGTTAATTGTGTCAGATGTGAGTCTGTGGTAATTGTGTTTAGATGTGAGGCAGTGGTAATGGTGTTCAGATGTGAGGCTGTGGTAATGGTGTTCAGATGTGAGGCTGTGATAATAGTGTCAGATGTGAGGCTGTGGTAATGGAGTTCAGATGTGAGGCTGTGATAATTGTGTCAGATGTGAGGCTGTGGTAATGGTGTTCAGATGTGAGGCTGTGGTAATGGTGTTCAGGTGTGAGGCTGTGGTAATTGTGTCAGATGTGAGGCTGTGGTAATTGTGTCAGATGTGAGGCTGTGGTAATTGTGTTTAGATGTGAGGCTGTGGTAATTGTGTCAGATGTGAGGCTGTGGTAATTGTGTTTAGATGTGAGGCTGTGGTAATTGTGTCAGATGTGAGGCTGTGGTAATTGTGTCAGATGTGAGGCTTTGGTAATTGTGTTTAGATGTGAGGCTGTGGTAATTGTGTCAGATGTGAGGCTGTGGTAATTGTGTCAGATGTGAGGCTGTGGTAATGGTGTTTAGATGTGAGGCTGTGGTAATGGTGTTTAGATGTGAGGCTGTGGTAATTGTGTTAGATGTGAGGCTGTGGTAATGGTGTTCAGATGTGAGGCTGTGGTAATGGTGTTTAGATGTGAGGCTGTGGTAATGGTGTTCAGATGTGAGGCTGTGATAATTGTGTCAGATGTGAGGCTGTTGTAATGGTGTTTAGATGTGAGGCTGTGATAATGTTGTCAGATGTGAGGCTGTGGTAATGGTGTTCAGATGTGAGGCTGTGATAATTGTGTCAGATGTGAGGCTGTGGTAATGGTGTTTAGATGTGAGGCTGTGGTAATGGTGTTCAGATGTGAGGCTGTGATAATGGTGTTTAGATGTGAGGCTGTTATATTGGTGTTTAGATGTGAGGCTGTGGTAGTGGTGTTTAAGTGTGAGGCTGTTATATTGGTGATCAGATGTGAGGCTGTGGTAATGGTGTTTAGGTGTAAGGTTGTCCTTCAAGAGTTTGTCGTGCGGCCCTTGCGCAAAAAATCGTAACGATACCATTACTTCTAAATTAAGAAAATAAATTAATTTAAGTTGTGCGTCATCTGCGACAACTACGCCCCCCCCCAACCTTTTTCTATATTTAAAGAATGCAATCGTGGCGTAGGGAGGGCAGGAAGCGTATTTGAAACTACTCCTGTAAAAAGGTTTGGCTTTTCAAAATCATTGATCGAGACTGTATTGAAATACAATCGGGGGGAGGCGGGGGGGCATTAATGGGCCCCAAACCGAGCCGCATAGAAATCAAAGCTTTTTTTTCTTTTTTTTTTGGGGGGGGGGGGGTCTTCACGACCTGACGTCATCGATTGTTGTACATCAGGTTGGGGCTATCACTGTGTGCCACAAATAGGACGATATGATTTATCGATCTCTGCTTGATCTCGTGTATTGGCTGATTTCACGAACTGGGACGAAGGGTGGGAAAGGGGGAAGGGGGGCAATTATTCCATTACAACTAACGCGTGAATTAGCAGTCCCCCCCCCCCCGCCCAAAAAAAAATATCAGGGCGGGGCTGTCACATGACTGCTTCATTTATCCCGCCTGTGAATGCTTCTCCGCTTCAAGGGGTCTGTGAATGATATTAGCTTTTAAAAGTCCAAACATGGTGCGGTGTCGTGGAGTTGCCCACTGTCAACGATCTTTTGAATCAGGTGTGTGCATTGAACTGACCTTCATTGTGACAGGTGTGTCTTAATTGGCAAGGGTCGTGCTGTTAGAATTAGCCACCACTGAACACCAACAGTTAATCCTGTGACTAAAGTGACTTGTGTAGTGAACGCTCTCTAGGTGTTTGAGAGATCACGTCGAAATAAAATTCTGGACTGTACATACTTCTTCTCCACAGAGGCACATTATTCTGTGGAGAAATTCTATGCAACGAATTAGTGATTTTATAAGCTGAAATGTGGATAGCCATGAATTATTTTTTTATATGATGGGGTATGTAAGTATACTTAAACACTTAATATCTCCTATATTAAACACCTATTTTTCAATTAAAGAAAGAAAGACAAGACCTCTAAGATATGGTTTGAATTCGTAATAACTGTACATGAGCAACAGTTGTAATGTGGGTGTTAGATAACAAAGATGTGTAATCTGTATGGGCTTAACAGAGTGTGTTGCAAGATTTTGATATGAAAGATTTAAATGGTATTATTTGGAAATTTCAAGAACCAAGTAAAATGTGTCATGTTGTGTCTTTGTGTGTCCGTATGTGTTCCTGTGTGTCCTTATATCGTCAACCTAATATAAATGTCCCATTATAATTATTGGCGTTATTCGTTATTACTCTGGTCCCTACCGCAACAGACCGGATTTTGAAGAAAACGAATTACTTTATTGACGTGTCATGGAATCCAAAATGATAATAAATTTATTTTAATGTGTTGCAAGATAAAAAAAAAAAAAGTTTTGGAAAAATCTCTTGTTGATTATATCTACGCCCTTCAGGTACATGGTTATATCTACGCCCTTCGGGTGCATGGTTATATCTACGCTCTTCGGGTACATGGTTATATCTACGCTCTTCGGGTACATGGTTATATCTACGCCCTTCGGGTACATGGTTATATCTACGCCCTTCGGGTACATGATTATATCTACGCTCTTCGGGTACATGATTATATGTACGCCCTTCGGGTACATGGTTATATCTACGCCCTTCGGGTACATGGTTATATCTACGCCCTTCGGGTAAATAAATGGAGGCACAGCCGACGTTACTCAGACAAAAGAATAGTGTTACCGCGTTTCTTCTTTTCCTACTCATAAAAACATGTTTGGCCCGCCACAAAGCTTTTAAGTAGATTACTGAGACACAAACAATTTTGTCTAAATAAGAACAAACTGTTAAGCTTTAATTATGGTGCGACAAAAAACAAATTCAAACGTTTCGGCCAAACGCCTTCGCAAATAAAACAAAAAACATCGATTTGCTTATAAATTTAATTTAAATTATATATTTATATCCTATCTATAACTAAAAATTAATTCAGGAGTTAAAAACTTTTCCACCACCACTCCCCCCCCCAACCAAACACACACAAAAAAAAACCACAAAAAAAAACAAGAGTTCATCAATCCAGTAAGTGGGTCCTTAAAATCTACAGGTGATAACAATCAAGCGGTATAAATACCTTTACTACCAACGTCATCTGACTAACCCAAGTGTTTCTAAGCAATTCCCCACCAACCACCTTTCAGGCAAAGTAATTTAAGTTCGTAATTTTTAATTGGTTTTTAACGGTCTGAAGATCCTCTAGAGGTAAACGTGTCCAGCCAGTCCTAGAGGCGGATAAGTGATGACGTAGAGAATGCTGACTCGGCGACCACAAGACAACAAGAATCTTAAGAATGTTGGCCAACCAATAAACAGGAACATCACATTCAAGTAAGACAATTGCACAGACATTTCCCATCATTTTATTCATTTGTTGTTGGTTTTTTTAACAGAAGACTTCAATATTTTTTTATTAATCGCTCTCCTTGCCTTAAAACATGACCATTGAATTATTTCATTGGTTATGAATACATACGTATTTTTCAACGTTCTCTGAGGAAAATAATTATTTTAGCACCTAAGATTAGTGGTTTAAACCAAAAAACAAAACAAAAACACAAGAAAAAAAACAACAACAACAAAAAAAAAAAAAAAGAAAAAAAAAAAAAACTTTATACTACAAACAAAATATACAAAAAAACCACAAAAAAAAAAAAAAAAAAAAAAAAAAAAAAAAAATAAAAACAAAGGAAAAAAAAAAAAACCTAACTTTGTACTGCCTACAGCAATGGCTAGTTCAAAAAATCGCCAAAAAAAAAAAAAAAAAAAAATTTTTACTGCCTAAAACAAAAGACAATTAAAAAAAACACCAAAAAAAAAAAAAAAGATGTAATGGCCCATATTTGTGTCCTTAAGGTTGAATGACATAAGACCTCTCCAAGAATTTTCTTCTAAAAAAAAAAAAGTTTAAGTTTAGACATCACTGCCTTAGATCTTTCCATCATTATCTATGCATTAACGTCCTGGGTTAATGTCATGTTTAAGGTTTAAGTGCGCACACTTCTATTCCGTTGAGGCGTATTATAAAGGTACTCAACACCTCAAAACTGATTGAGCAGCAAGCTGCTTTGCGGCGACCAGACTCGCATAGTTTTGATCCACAGATGCACAACCATGTAATAAGACTGCACCCCAAATGTTGTAGGTGTAAGTGACGTCACGTAACTAAACGGTTTGAATTTGAAATTATTTCAGGAAGGCTGGCAATGGTTGCAAGGATACGACCATCGTGGGCTGGACAGGGACCGATGTAACAGATGAGAATGGTTTGACATGGGTTTTGGACATTCATGTACTTTAATGTATTCTATGTTCTCTCTCTCTCTCTCACTATCTCTCTCTCTCTCTCGCTCCCTCTCTCTATCTCTTTCTCTCTCTCTCTCTCACTCACTATCTCTTTCTCTGTCTCCGTCTTTTTCTCTCTTTCTCTCTATCTCTCTCTCACTCTCTCACTATCTATCTCTCTCTTTTTCTCTTTTTCTCTCTCTATCTCTTTTTATCTCTATCTCTTTCTCCCTCTCTTTCTATCTGTCTTTCTCTCTATCTCTCTATCTCTCTTTCTCTCTCTCTCTCTTTCTCTATCTCTTTCTCTCTCTTTCTTTCTCTCTCTCTTTCTCCATTTCTCTCTCTCTCTCTCTCTCACTATTTCTCACTTTCTCTCACTTTCTCTCTCTCTCACTATTTCTCACTTTCTCTCACTTTCTCTCTCTCTCTCTCTCTCTCTCTCTCTTTTACCCTGTAGCCTTACGAGTTGACATTCCAAAACTTCACCCTTCACACGCGTCTTAAACAAAAAAACTTCTTTCATAAAAGTTTAGCAATGCTTGTGTTTACAATTTTAATTCACACATAGAATTATTTTTTTTAATTTTATCATCTTTTTACAAACTGACCTTTTACTGTAGGCTTATCATGATGCTCGACTCTAACACTGGCATTCAGGGTTTCTTTCAGCTATATCACACCACCCACCCCAGGACTTTCAGCTATATCTCCGTGGATGGGGGGCACTACCCCCGGGGAAAGCCAAGTGCCCCCCGGAGAAAAAATATGTCCAACAATAAATCAACTGACACTGCTGGCACTGCCCCCCNTAGTGGTCTTTAAAAGCGCCTAGGGCTGAGCTCACCACGCTGTGCATAAAAATATTAGCAAAGATAATGATGGCATAGTAAGTACCAGGGTGGTTTCGGTCAGTGTTTGACGTGGTGTCGGTCAGTGTCTGGATGTATTATTATTATTATTAGTGGTCTTTAAAAGCGCCTAGGGCTGAGCTCACCACGCTGTGCATAAAAATATTAGCAAAGATAATGATGGCATAGTAAGTACCAGGGTGGTTTCGGTCAGTGTTTGACGTGGTGTCGGTCAGTGTCTGGATGTATTATTATTATTATTAGTGGTCTTTAAAAGCGCCTAGGGCTGAGCTCACCACGCTGTGCATAAAAATATTAGCAAAGATAATGATGGCATAGTAAGTACCAGGGTGGTTTCGGTCAGTGTTTGACGTGGTGTCGGTCAGTGTCTGGATGTATTATTATTATTATTAGTGGTCTTTAAAAGCGCCTAGGGCTGAGCTCACCACGCTGTGCATAAAAATATTAGCAAAGATAATGATGACATTAAAAAATAACAAACATTTAATTAATTTAAAAACAGCTATATAACAACTAAACAAAAACAAGTGTATATTCACACCACCCACCCCAGGAATTTTACATGTCCAGCCAACGACATCAACCAGCAGCGCCGTTTATTAGCAATTTGGGAGGGAATCAGTCGGGGTAGTAGCGTTTAAAGCGATGTGTTTAGAGAGCAGTTTTGAAGGCCTTGCGTTGTTGGCGTGGTATCGGTTAGTTTCAGCATGGCATCGTTCAGTGTTTTTAGTTAAGGATACTAGAAAAGAAATCGGCCAAGGTCGTGTCTGTGTCCATAAAATGCTATGTAAAAGATCGTAGTGTTGCGTCTCATTGGAGCACGATGCTCAATGTAGCTGAGGTGGTGTCATGCTTCACTTTATGTGACATCGAGGAAATTGTCACATTCCTGTAGACATTGAGTCTATACACAGAGTTATCTTTCTACAATTATGAATTTCAGGGAAAAAAACTAACGAGGACTCTGAGGAAAAGTATCGTCACGTGTTTACAAGATGCACGACTCTGGCCGACTGGGAGGCATTTCAGCTCCAGAGTTTACCTGAGCGTTACAGGTCAGTGATTGGTCAGTTGAGGTCAGTCAATTGTTAAATACGGGCTAGGAGACGAGTCACTTAAAATGTATCCATTAAAATATTACATCTTAAGCGCATTTCAAAAGACATTTAAGTCACTGTACTGGAAGCATCGTGCATCACGAGAACTCGGTGAGGCTTAAGATGTAGATAGTTCTGCTAAGAAATACAAGAGACGTTCACTGCATATAAACTTTCGGAAATTGGATGGCAAAGCATACACCCACTAATTCGATTTTTTTTTTTTTAATTCTTGCAAATTTGCTCTAAGATATTTAACAGTTAATTTTTAAATAAAGGATTATAATTTATAAAGAAATCAAAAGAAAAAACCTTCCTGATAATAGAAAATGATTTTGTATCAAATATGATAATAATTACGCTCTATATTTGTATATTATAATGTAACAGGGATTCTAAAACTAACCTCTAACCAACACATTAAGAAAACTACCGATGACATCTCAGCAATACAAGGTCGGCATACACACACATGCGACATAGCCACTTTAATGATTTACAACGTGTAGAAGAAACTTTCCATAGAATTTATTATTTAATAATAAAGGTTTAGTTGAGAAAAATAGCTGTGATGGAGTAGATTTGACTTGAAAATAAATTATTTTATATATAAAATACAGGAATAAAAAATAAATATTATCTAATATAACTATTTTTTTACAAATTCTAAGAACAAAGTGAAACTTTTGTTTTTATGTATTATCTAATATAACTATTTTTTTACAAATTCTAAGAACAAAGTGAAACTTTTGTTTTTATGTATTGCCGGACAGGCCTCACGAAGAAATTGCTCAAAGCACGAAAAAGAGCAGTGAGGATTCAGTGCCGAGAGATGCGACCAAAACTCCTTCAGAATCCACAACTGACAGCCCTCAAGTTACCATGGAGACATCGTTGTTGAATCAGACGACCCGTGACGTCAGTGACGATGCGCGTGCACAAAACAACTCGGTAGGATACATTGACGGTTCATCATGGCTGTAAATTTGTAAAAAAAAATAATAATTTAATTTTTGCAATGGAAATAATTTTAAAATGCCTTTTAAAAAATTGCTGTTGTTATTTCTAGAACTTTTTTGTTTCCATTAATCTTTTGATCTTTGAATAACATAAAATTCTGAAGAGACTTCTGGTTCGATGTGAATCATCCTATGATGCTGCTGAGTGGATTGATAAAATATATGACATTCTTTTTACTAGTTTTGAACATATTTGACGATATCTTTGTGTTAAATGTGTATGATAAACTTTTGGAATGTATGAAATAGTCTTAAAGCGATGCTTCCACTGTGAAGTGCGCATATGCAAGACCTTTAAAAACCAGCTCACCACCAAAGTTAGAGAGTAATCCTACAAAATAAACGTTTAGGTTTTGATTTCTTTTGCTTTCAAACTTTAGAATCATTTCTTTACAACAATCCATCAATGCAACTTTTAAGGAAATATAATTATTGTGCCTCATTGTATCATAGTGCAAAAGTTGAAGCCTTTGCCAGAGTCAGTTGTTTGCAACCTTAGTAATGTACGAGACCCAAACAACTTGTGTAAATAAAACAATGTTAGTTAGGCTTTAATTATGGTTACACAGTATACAAATTGAACGTTTCGGCCAATACCTTCATCAGTACAACAAACTAACATTCATACAAGAATAAATTAAATTTGCAACGCCATGCAAGAATGCTGAACCACTTTACTTTAACACAACCAGACTCAGAAAAATCCTCAACATTAAATGACAGGACAGGGTCTCAGACACTGAGTTGCTCAAACAGGCAGGTCTCCTCAGCTACTTCACAATCTTGATGAAGTCCAAGCTTCGTTGGGCGGGACATGTTGTGAGAATGTTAGATGAACGTATGCCCAAAAGAATTTTCTATGGTGAGCTTGAACAAGAAAAGCGGTCTGCTGGCGGACAGAAAAAACGCTTTAAATACAACATAAAAGCCTCAATGAAAGCGTTCAAGATAAACCTAGAAACGTGGGAGGAACAAGCAAAGGATCGAACTTCATGGCGTTCCACTTTGCACAGGAGCTCCATGCAACATGAAGTTGGCAGAACAGCGGCTGCAGAGCGCAAGAGACATGCAAGGAAGGCCCGTTCTGACTCTGCTGCCGGAGATACGCCATCATTCCCCTGCACCTACTGCACAAGAGAATTTAGTGCCAGAATCGGCCTCATCAGCCGTCTGCGCACCCACAGACAGAACCAGCACAAACTCTGATGATTAAAGTGATCATGGTCGACTCTCGCCTGACGAACAACAAATATATATATATATCCTACCTACACTTAAAACTGTTTTATTTAAATTAATTGCTTGAATCTAATTAATCTACTTAAATTATTTATGGCAGCCCAAATCTTTTAGGATTTCGAATTATTTGTTCATTTATTTTCTTTGAGTAATTAGTCAATCAATACATTTTTGCTTCAATTAAATGCTAAAGAAAGTTGCATTGATTTTTTCCCTACACAGTCTTTAAAAAAAAAAGATTGTAAGACCTATTCTGTTGCTGATGACATTGAATTTATTTTACCGTCGACCCAGGAACTCTGCTCGCTACCAGAAAGTCATGTCCATGATGTTCATGGTGAGGCCGAGACGCAAACGGAAAAAATGTCGAGACTCAAGGATCTTGCAGAGACGTTTGGTGTCTGTCATACTGCCATTGTTAGTGGCGACGCCCATGAAGAGAACTGTGATGAGGGCTACGACTCGAGGGTAATCCGTGTTCACCTCACTCTAGTGTTGTGCCGCTGGTGTCGTGGTTTTCACTTTCTTTGATGGTGTTTAAATAGATCTAAAATGCGCGACATGTCGTTAATATCTTCCTCTTAATTGTAATTTTTTATTTAAAATTTCAGTTGCTGATGGCATACACGTATCAAAGATTTTTGTATAATTTGAAAATATTAAAACTAATTTTCTCCATTTCTCAAGTTTGGTTTTATTAAATTATTACAAATTTGTGCAGCCTTTCCAAGAATTTAAAAACGATTCCAAAGCTGCAGCAAATGCTAAATGTTTGATCCCGTGAATAAAGCTACATGTCTAGATCTATAAATCTGTCACACGTTTATGTCCATGTTAGCACATTGGCAGGACCATCTGTTTAACATTAACGAACGCTTTCATTTCAAACTTTTCCTCCTCAGCTGTCGAGCATGGAAGGAGCGTCGGAAGACATCATAAAACCATCAGCAACCCCGCCTCAGTCACCTCAGTCACCTCAGTCACCTCAGTCACCTCAGTCACCTCAGTCACCTCAGTCATCTCAGTCACCTCAGTCACCTCAGTCACCTCAACGCTTACAGACTGTTTCAGCAGAGAGCATAAATATTTTAAACAAGACAAACGCACAGCCGCCTTTAAACCAAAAGCGTGATATCAAATTGACAAGTTTAAGTCCCGGGGGAAATGTGGCAACCAAGCCTTCCGATCCAGAAACGGCAACATCAAAAAGTATCAAATTGACCCTTCCTGGTAAGGAGGAATGTACTAGTGAACGGGTTCAAAGGTCAAATGTCAAAGCGCGTGCCCCTGTTTTGAAAGAAGATTCAGTTGCCAAGTTGTCTTACTCCAGAAGTGACAAGAACGTGTACGACACGCCGACCGGGGAGGCTAAAAAAATCGGGGACTTCCTTTACGCCGGGAGGGAAAGGTCAAGGTTAATAGAAGTCAGTCTGAGGCAGATCACGCCTGGCTACCTCGACCTGCACCACCTCTCACGCGTACCCCACACAACGCAGGTATCAGGTGAGATAAGAAATCTGTCGACTCGTTCGGCTGATCGCAGAAGAACGTCATCGCCTGACTCAGATCAGCAGCAGCAGCAGCAAGCCAAAATTTCCGAGCCCCGCCCCCAATCACAGAATGATCTTCAACCCAAATATTTAACGCTGACGAAGATTTCCCTCCAAGACGGCACTGAAGCTCCAGATCGAGATACCTTCCACCAAAACAGATCGTTGATTACAAATCTGTCTAAGGCTTTCAGACTCCCCAAACCAACAAAGCCGCCGAAAAGTGCGATGGGTTTAAGAGTTCCAAATGGTCCTAAATGGTCATCGGCATCTTCTGCTACCCAGAATAAACCCTCAGAGCGCCCATCTCCTGCTACTCGGGATAAACACACAGAGTGCCCATCTCCTATGGATCTTAAAAATTCAGGGCACACAGAAAATGAGAAAACTGAAAATTTAGAACTGGTTAGCATCCACAAAAACACTTCACTGCCAAACTCCAAGCAAGTAACGGCACAGTGTGAAATATCAGATGAAAAACTCAAAGCATCGTCTAGCCTACCCTTAATTCCTTGTATAAATCAAAACATATCAAACTCATTGACAAAATCATCGACTTATCTTAGTAAAAACCTCCCCACATTTGAAGCTCCTTCACAAACTTCTAATGTAGAGTACGCCTCCAGTCTTCCAAGTGGTAAGTTGTTTATTTTTATATTTTATAAATTTAGTTTTAATATGAAGTATATTTAGTAGGACATTATCATTCAGCCATGTTTCTTAACTCAGACCTCCTGAAACAAAGGTTTCCGTCTCAGATTTTGTACCTCAAAAGTCATAACGAACATTTGATACTTAAGACTACTATTTCAGACTTTCGATCTTTGAACTTCTACCTGAAGCTTTGTCTGGTGAATGTAGTCTCCGAGCAATGGTTGCACCAGATTAGTAAAAAGTGAAAATCTTATCAAGATTCATCTCTAGCATCCCTGAACTTTACGGCGCTTTAAAAAAAGAAAAGAAATTATTATATTTTAAATTCTTCACAATAGACTACGTACCATGTTATGATGACTCCGGTCCTTGTATATACACAGAGTTCCAGCAGAACGATGATCCCTCTAGTCTCAAGCAGGCCACGGGCTCCAGTGACATGGGAACACTACTGCCACTGGCGACTGCAAGTTGCGAAGATCTTCATTCGTTTTCTTTACTTAATCTCTACAACAGCCGACGGGAGGAGACTGGGGGTAAAGCACCTGTCACATACAGGCTACATCATAATGTGAGTCTATGGGCTTTAGTTCTGCATATGAGGGGAGGGGCGCTCTACATGTTTTTTGGGGATAAAAGAAGAGAATTGTATAGCATACTTTGATGTTTTAAATGAGCATAGAGATGCCTTGCAAACAAATAGTATGTGTTTGCGGGACTGCGGGGGAGGGGGGTTAATTATACTTTTATAATCACATCCTTCAAAAAATTGTGTGATCAGAAAAAAAAACTATATGTGGTTGTGAAACTTTAACATCTAAAAATATTTAGTATAGATTTCGATCGCTTCATCGCTGGAGTTTGTTAGTTTTTCAACGTTCCTAAAATGTAAACGTTTTTTAAAATGGATATTGATGACGGTTTAAAAAGTAGTGCTTACCACTGGTAGTTAAATGCTTGAGGATAGTTTTGGTCTTACCACCGGTAGTTAAATTCTTGAGGATAGTTTTGGTCTTACCACCGGTAGTTAAATGCTTGAGGATAGTTTTGGTCTTACCACCGGTAGTTAAATTCTTGAGGATAGTTTTGGTCTTACCACCGGTAATTAAATTCTTGAGAATAGTTTTGGTCTTACCACCGGTAGTTAAATTCTTGAGGATAGTTTTGGTCTTACCACCGGTAGTTAAATTCTTGAGGATAGTTTTGGTCTTACCACCGGTAGTTAAATTCTTGAGAATAGTTTTGGTCTTACCACCGGTAGTTAAATTCTTGAGAATAGTTTTGGTCTTACCACCGGTAGTTAAATTCTTGAGGATAGTTTTGGTCTTACCACCGGTAGTTAAATTCTTGAGGATAGTTTTGGTCTTACCACCTGTAGTTAAATGCTTGAGGATAGTTTTGGTCTTACCACCGGTAGTTAAATTCTTGAGGATAGTTTTGGTCTTACCACCGGTAGTTAAATGCTTGAAGATAGTTTTGGTCTTACCACCGGTAGTTGAATGCTTGTAGATAGTTTTGGTCTTACCACCGGTAGTTAAATTCTTGAGGATAGTTTTGGTCTTACCACCGGTAGTTAAATGCTTGAGGATAGTTTTGGTCTTACCACCGGTAGTTGAATGCTTGAGGATAGTTTTGGTCTTACCACTGGTAGTTAAATTCTTGAGGATAGTTTTGGTCTTACCACCGGTAGTTAAATGCTTGAGGATAGTTTTGGTCTTACCACCGGTAGTTAAATTCTTGAGGATAGTTTTGGTCTTACCACCGGTAGTTAAATGCTTGAGGATAGTTTTGGTCTTACCACCGGTAGTTAAATTCTTGAGGATAGTTTTGGTCTTACCACCGGTAGTTAAATGCTTGAGGATAGTTTTGGTCTTACCACCGGTAGTTAAATTCTTGAGGATAGTTTTGGTCTTACCACCGGTAGTTAAATGCTTGAGGATAGTTTTGGTCTTACCACCGGTAGTTAAATTCTTGAGGATAGTTTTGGTCTTACCACCGGTAGTTAAATGCTTGAGGATAGTTTTGGTCTTACCACCGGTAGTTAAATTCTTGAGGATAGTTTTGGTCTTACCACCGGTAGTTAAATGCTTGAGGATAGTTTTGGTCTTACCACCGGTAGTTAAATTCTTGAGGATAGTTTTGGTCTTACCACCGGTAGTTAAATGCTTGAGGATAGTTTTGGTCTTACCACCGGTAGTTAAATTCTTGAGGATAGTTTTGGTCTTACCACCGGTAGTTAAATGCTTGAGGATAGTTTTGGTCTTACCACCGGTAGTTAAATTCTTGAGGATAGTTTTGGTCTTACCACCGGTAGTTAAATGCTTGAGGATAGTTTTGGTCTTACCACCGGTAGTTAAATTCTTGAGGATAGTTTTGGTCTTACCACCGGTAGTTAAATGCTTGAGGATAGTTTTGGTCTTACCACCGGTAGTTAAATTCTTGAGGATAGTTTTGGTCTTACCACCGGTAGTTAAATGCTTGAGGATAGTTTTGGTCTTACCACCGGTAGTTAAATGCTTGAGGATAGTTTTGGTCTTACCACCGGTAGTTGAATGCTTGAGGATAGTTTTGGTCTTACCACTGGTAGTTAAATTCTTGAGGATAGTTTTGGTCTTACCACCGGTAGTTGAATGCTTGAGGATAGTTTTGGTCTTACCACCGGTAGTTGAATGCTTGAGGATAGTTTTGGTCTTACCACCGGTAGTTGAATGCTTGAGGATATTTTTGGTCTTACCACCGGTAGTTGAATGCTTGAGGATATTTATGGTCTTACCACCGGTAGTTGAATGCTTGAGGATAGTTTTGGTCTTACCACCGGTAGTTGAATGCTTGAGGATAGTTTTGGTCTTACCACCGGTAGTTGAATGCTTGAGGATAGTTTTGGTCTTACCACCGGTAGTTGAATGCTTGAGGATATTTATGGTAATCTGAGAGTTATGATGTGTGAAGAAGAATTGTCTTTTTGGATTCGAGAAGTTGTGATGAACACGTCCTGTGTTCGTGTTCTCTTGTGTTTGTTTCCTCCTGGGTTCTCCTGTTATCGTGTTCTCGTGTGTTCTCCTATGTTCGTATTCTCATGTGTTCTCCTGTGTTCGTGTTCTCCTGTGTTCTTCTGTGTTCGTGTACTCATGTGTTCTCATTTGTTTGTGTTCTTCAGTGTTCTTCCTCTCTCGCGTATTCTTGTGCAGGTGTTATGTCTCATTTTCGCATTATAAAAAAAATGAAATGTGACTGATAGTACTATAGTATTTATATATCTCCCCAATGTCTACCACGCAACTTAGTTCAAACGTATAACCAGTTATATTTGTGTCGTAAAGATATTCTTTGCGTTATCGTGGCTCCCAGAATTAAACACAAATTTTCTAACTTGCATTAATTCAATATTGAGCAGTTCTTACAACAATTTTTTTTTTAAATGTATAACCAACAGGGTCACAGGTCTCAAGGGTTTCGTCCTTACAATTCACTTTCTCCCCTGCAAAGAGCCAAAGACATCGCAAACCGGCGTATTCACGGCTACGTTGCTTTTTTGCCAGTAATGGATCGTAAATATTTATGTAGTAATTTTTAGTCTTTTTTAACAATTACTCTTACTCTAATTTTACAAAAATGTGCTCGTTTTCCCACCACCCGTTTCTTTTAAAAAATAGTCTAGGAAAAGAAGTCTTTTTTTTTTAAATAATACTTTAGAAACTGACCTACTTTTAAAAATAAAATGTTAAAAATTTATTTAATTAAAAGAAGTTGCTGTATTTTTTAAATATGGTTCTTTATAGATATAAAAAAAATGAAATTTAATGTTCGGGTGTTGATTGTTTTTTTTAAACTTAAGCACTAAAAGTTTTCTAATGGATTTAGGTGACAATCTAAATTAAACTTTTTCTTAAACCAAGGGCAGCTATTTATTGTTTTCAATATTCGATCAGGATGGTTCAGAAACAGTAAAAGTTACATCCCCTCAATACAGTGCTCCAAGGGTTGAGCGTCTTGACTCGACCAACAGGTAATTGTTCAATGAAACAGACTCTATTATGGTTTCATTAGTTTATAATCCTGATATTTATAAATACACAAACTAGTATTTAACAAGTTAATACATTATGTCCAAATAAGGAAATATGTAAACAAATGTACTTACGAAACTAAAAAAGGGAAATGAGTGAAACAAAGTATGGGAAAACCTGAAAAAAGGAACGCAACAAAATAACGAACGTGTCGGCAGGAAGCCTTCATCAGCAAAAAAACAACAGTAAAAACAAAATTAAATAAAAGTAACACTTAGCAGAAATGTAGTATCCGATAGGGCAGCAGGAGGATGTTTTGAGCCAAACTAATACCCAAACTTAACATACTAATGTATTCAAATAAATATTTACTAATTACATATCTAAATATAATATATAGGCAAGATAAATGTTCAATTTTTTGCTAATTATTTACCATATATATATATACCAATTTCAACTCATAGATATTTCAGGTAATACATTGCGTTTGTTGAAACTGGTGAATTAAATTCATTTTTGTTAGTAACATTTTTTATGTATTTGTTAACTGATATTTGTATGATGCATGTGTGCATTGAATCTTGTTAACTATTGAACCACTACTTAAGCTGCTTTCAAGTAATTGGACAGGAGCTGATACTTCTAAAGTATCGAATACCACAAAATAGCCAAGTCGGGGTCAAAGTAGGTAGCTGCCTTTCTCTGCTGTGTCTACATTTTCTCGGAGCTCTCCAGTGTACTGTGTACCACTTATTAGTGGATTGCACTGTACGCTGTCAGCATGGGCATCCGCAGGGGGGGGGAAGAGGGGGGCACTTGCCCCCCACTGGATTGATTGGATACAAAATTTTTAGACAAAAATAGACAAAAAATGTACTAAAGTAAAAAGAAAATAAAGAGAAAGTAACTAAGCTGATGTCCTGTCTGTTCGTTCACCATACAAATACGCTACAGTAAATTAAAAGTATATTAAAACATTACTAAAAATTGTTCCCCCCCCCCCTGGAAGTTAATCGATTTTTTTGCCTTCCCTAGAAAGTTTTCTGCGGGCGCCCATGGCTGTCAGTGTTGTTGTACATTGAATATAAAGTCGTGCATTAATCATTATGTTGTACCCTGGTCACATTGTTGTGCCCGTTTATCATATTGTGCCCGTGTCATAATGTTGCATGCTGGTTAATTTAAACAGTGGTCATTAAGTTCAATATTGATCAGTGGTCACTATTGTTGAATTGTTGTTACTATGCAGTTAAGTGGTCCAATTGTCTGTACTCCTCATTTGGGTAGCTTTTTTTTCCTGATCGTTAAATTGAAAATTGGTCCTTATGTTGTACCCGCATTATTATGTTGTACCTTGCCATTATGTTGTATCCTGGTCCTAATGTTGTACCCTGGTCATTATGTTTTACTCTGTTCCTTACTTTGTATCCGGTCCTCATATTGTACGTTTTCATTATGGTGTCCCCTGGCCATCATGTTGTACCCTAGTTCTTATGTTGTACCCTAGGCATTGTGTTGTTCCTTACTCAACACGTTGCAGCCTGTTGTGTTTCGGTAGTTGCATGTGCCTACCAGTTCCTGTAGTTCCCATATATATCCTACAAGCTAAGAGTGTTTGTACCCTAGTCATTATGCTATACGTTTTTTCTTGTGTAACACACTTTACACCGTGTTTACTGTTGATGTACTCCCATAAAAGGTCTAAACAAATGGTTCTATATAGCCTAATGCCGTCCAATATCTTCCCGTGAAACGCTAAAACCCCATTAAGCTCAATTCTGCCACCCTGATAATGACTTAACATGACGATCATTGCCATTGGGGAAATCCTTTATAAGACTCCTCTTGTCTGGTCGGGTCGATCTGTTTACACGGCACATTGTTAGACTAGTGTTTCAAGAATGGAATATCGTGTCACTGGATTTTTTCCAGTGGTGTTCCGTGATATCATGGCATCCCACCCCAGGCCACTCACGTGTACTTTGTACATGTGTATTTGTTTATAACCTTTATATATAGCTCATTTGAAGCATGTACATTTTTGTCCCTTTGTGAGCGCTGGGTTCACGGACTACTCTCTATGTTATTGGGATACACGTTACATAGGGGCGTGCGACTCCCCAATTGATGTTTTATAAATGTGTATTTGAATGTTATGTTCAGATTATATTCTGTAATTCCACAATTCATGGAATGCCGAATCTTCCTACTAAGAATACCGCTAATTTTACCAGTTGTGCAGTAGTAAAGGCATAATAATATTGTTAAGTACACAAAATAATTTTCATGAAAGTTGTTTGCTTTCCTTAATTGGTGAAATTTTCACCGAAAAAAATTATCAAAAATAAATTTTAAAACTTTTAAAAAATAGAGTTTTAAAAATATATTTTGTCAATTTCTGAATTATTTTTTTATTCTTTTAATTCTGAAGAAAACCCAAGTATTGAAAACTATTAGAGTTTTGAAACTAACGTTGATATCCTTCACAATAGTTTTGGTGCACTTTACATTAGTCATATGTTATTGACTTTGATCGTCTTGACTTTTTCCAGACATTTCGATAACATAATAAGTGGACTCTGGAGGCCATCGTAACATCATCTGTCCATGGAACGGAAGGCGAACGTGACGTCATTGAGTCCTCGTGTACGGGGAAAAAAGGAACACCGCCCCTGTTTATCGCCTGCTCCTTCTGTGCGAGCTGACTGGGAGATCTGGTTTCCAAAGCACGTGACATCAATGTCCAATTAATCCCGTCGACAAGTCCCGTTGTTTTGAGACAGCTTCTGTGAGGACACCAAAGCCAAGCGTTGACCTTTTGTAGGGATGAGCGGCAGAATGATAGCATTGATCTCTCAGCAAGACAACGATGTATATCAGAACAGATACATGGAATTTGATGGTTCAGGAATGTATGTTACGGTCAAACTGCTACTAAATCATTAACAACAGTGGTTCTCACAACTGTGTGTCGTGTCTCCTTTGGGGGTCGATCGGCCCTTACACTGGGGTCGCCTAAGACAATCGGAAAAGACATATTTATGAAGTGGCGACGCAAATAATTTTATGCTTTGGGGGTCACCACAGCATGAGTGACCTGTATTAAAGGGTCGCGGCACTAGGAAGGTTGAGAACCACTGAACAAGAATATCGTCTCTATCAGATATACTAAAGAGTTGCTGAAAAATTAATATTTCTTTTGCATGATGACTGATGTTCCTGAGTATTCATGTTGTCTGTAGATACAATACGTGTAAAGCTTTGAAGACAATTACGAATATATAGCTCGTTAACAAACAAAAAACAAAACAAATTAAACTTTAAAGATTTATGAGTGATTCTGTACAGATAAATAGTTAATGACAGTTAAACGTCTTGAATATCCTTACTTTATAGTAGCATAAATCAGTTTAAGATGAAAACATAAAATATTAAATATAAAAATGAAATGTGTAAATAAACACAGACAAAAAAAAATTGTTTAAAATCAGAGGTGAATGTTCCGGGAAGCGTAAACTTGTTTTAATTTTTCACAACAACAAACTATGACTTAATCGACTCCTCCAAGGTGCAGTAAACCAATTAAAACATATTACAATTATTTTCATTAGAATAAATGTTTATAAAAATTTTAGAACAAAAAATACAACGGTATAAGAACACGAAAATCATGACAGCAGTAACGGTGTACATGTTTGAACTCATTGATTAAGTTGTATGCTTTAAAATGGTTTATTTACAATGTAACTTCGTTGCAAATTTGATGATCAGTAAAAAAAAAATAATAATTCGGTTGTATGTAACAGTTTTCGCTATTTTCTTCTTTTTTTTTTCAAAATATCTATTTTTATGTATTAGGATTATGTCTTTCTTTTGAAAGATTTGTTTTCGCTCCTTATGCCTGTAAACGAAAATGTATTACAATGATTAAAAAAAAGATTGTTATTTGAAAAAAAAATAATTTCCTTCTGGGCCAGAATTTTAGACGGTGTGATAGTGTCAATATTTCTCTTTTGCTAAAGTACGGGAATGTAAAAATGAATGATTCAAAAATTATCACTGCTAAATAAAACTATTAACATGAAACCCTCAAAGTTTCTGTAGTTTAAGAATCCTTGATTTTTTTTTTAAACAAGAAGAGTTATCTCAGCAAAACAAATTATTGTATGGTAATTGTATGGTCTTGTATGACGAGAAGTAAAATCATATGAATTATGGCAATGTTTCCTGTGGATTTCTTCATTCATTTACAACTTTTAGATTACGTTTTACGTATTAGTGCTAAAAAAAAAAGTGTACCGTCAACTCAAACCTTGAAAATAAAATAAATAGAACTATTTTTAGAACGATTCGTTGGTAAGCAAACTTTAAACCCAGGTTTAAAAAATTAATCAATATTCCATTATGGATTACATTTTTGTCCCAGTCACAAGTTAAAAGCGTCTCTGTCTTTCACTTAAGTTTCTTCCTCTATTTTCGCTGATCTGCCCTTGATGTTCTCAAGTTTGTTCAGCAAACCTTCAGAAGGCAAACTATCTTTAAAAGCAGGTCCTCCGGCAATCGTTGCCCTACGCCATGTGCAAGACGTATTGGCGTGGAATCTTTGATGCAGCGCATCGCCGTCTTCTTCCGAAAACTCCTTCACGTCAGGAATGGAATGTCTGGAATCTTTTAGACAGCGAGTCTCCCTGTAACTTTCTGCAGAGTTATCTTTACCCCAAACGGGTTCGCTGATCTTCTTCCGGCTGTCCGGTTTCCTCAGACTCTCAAAAGCTTGATCTCGCGAGATCGCTGAACTCTGGCCACGTGACACGAGAGTTTTTTCTTGTGTCGTCATAAACAGAGTGCTCGCGCTGGGGGCGCTGTACCGGCGTCTGTTGAAATTCTGAGCCCGGGGATGTTCCTCTGTTAGACCCAGCCCCTTCTTGGTCATCTGCAGTTTTTGCAGCTTGCTCTCCAAAGCGGCTTGCTGTCTACGGAACTCGGACGACACCAGCTTTTCGTGTTTCTCGATGTCTCGAATGGCTTGTTTATTTTTGGCGACGATCTGAAAATCTGAATTGTAAAACGCCGTCCGCTTGTTGTTCTCCCTGACTATCTGGAATTTGATGTCGTCCAGATATGTACGAATGCTTTCCTCTTTCTCCATTCTCCAACAAAAATTGGAGAGGATTGTGTTGTTTTTTTATTCCTTTGCAGTAGATTTAAAATTAATAGAGTTATATCAGAGTCATGGCGATGTTGAAGCCGAAAGTGACATTCCGAAATATATGAAAAGTTGTATGTAAAAAAAAAAAATGATAGGATTCTCGTTGTTAGCTTGAGTATGTTCCTGATGCTGTCACTGATTTGTCAACATACGATCTGAAATAAAAGCAAATGAAAATAAAATAGTATGGGTTTGAAATTATAATGTTATAAAATAAGACGTTTGGCTCTGTACAACCTCCACTTTCTTTATTCTTTTAGGTGACCAAATTATCGCTGTGCCACTCAAAATCGTTTACTTTTAGGAAATACACATCGAGATTGAAGACATGACACTAGATGCATACTGCGTTGGATCCAACGACAAGGTCTACGATAAACATTCAACGTCTTGTACATATCCAATCGAAAGACTCAACAGTACACGAAGGCTTGCGTCCTCTTCTTGTATGGCCTATGTTTACTTCAGATGAAATCGTTGGCAAAATTGCTTGCTTTCGACTATCCTAGCGAAGACAGCTTTATTTGTAAAATGCCTTACATTCAAAATGCCGCAGTCGCTGTCGTTGGATCCAGTGTCGTGTCTATTGATTGGTGCGGAGAGGTGTAGACCGCACGGGGTGACACCGTCAGGAAGTGTTACACACTTACATCCGCAAGAGATCCTTTGACATTTTAAACTTTTTTTTACTGTTCGGTAGTATACTGGATGAGCCCTGGTGGAGGGCTGGAACCTTAAGTACTGCACTGGTTGACACCGAGCCTATTGTCCCCACTCGTTTCGCCACAATATAAAAAATATATATTATATAAAGAGGTCCTCCAACTATGCAAGATTTTTTTTGTACAGACGATTAAACAAGTACACACACAAAGCATGAAATTAATGACTCAATCAAACAGTTAATAGTTCTCTTACGAATTTTTTGAACGCAATAGTTGAATCCTAAAATAATAACTCAGGTAGAACGTTGTGCTTGGGGGGGGGGGGGAAACAAATGAGGGATGATATGTGAAATATTTAAGAACCGCTGTTCAAATTCAATTTTAACCTTGTCCGTACTCATAAATGCCTCCCTATCCTAAAATAATAACTCAGGTAGAACGTTGTGCTTGGGGGGGGGGGGTAACTAATGAGGGATGATATGTGAAATATTTAAGAACCGCTGTTCAAATTCAATTTTAACCTTGTCCGTACTCATAAATGCCTCCCACTCCACTATAAAGCCCAATACCGAATGTGTCACAACATCCCGGACATGTTGACCTGTATATCAACCTGCAGAAGGTTCAACATTAATTGCGGTGTCGTGATCTAACAGTGGGGTAATCTGCCGGTTTCAATTTCAAAATCCTGTCTTTTTGTTCCAAGCAGGAAGACAGAAAAAAAGTGGATAGTTAATGCGCTGAAAGATTAGAGCTAATCCTGCCGACCAGTTTGTTGAGTACATGACGCCTTCAACAATAAATTTGGTCTGACTTTAGGCGTCCATTTGAAAATGACAGTAAAATGGTTAATAATTTTGTTATGTGTTTGTGAGTGTGTGTGAGTGTGTGTGAGAGGGTGTGGTGTATAAGTGAGTTTGTGTGGGGGGTGGCGTGTGTGTGTTTCCCGGGGGATGGGATACCATTTTTGTATATGCTCTACATCTTTAAAATAATTAGAACATTTATTCCTACCGAGTTTCTCTTTTACAAATATGTACATAGCAATGAGAAGTAAAGACATCTTAACTTGTCCATGCCCTTAACATTTTTTGTTTTGCTGGGCTATCTTTGTTCGTTTGGCACACCACGGCTTCACCTCTACACACCATCGCTTCACCTATATACACCACGGCCTCACCACTACACACCACCGGTTCACCTCTGCACACCACCGCTTGACTGCTATACACCACGGCCTCAACTCTACACACAACCGCTTCACCTCTGCAAACCACCGCTTCACCTCTACACACCACGGCCTCACTTCTATACACCACCGCCTCACCTCTACACACCACCATCTCACCTCTACACACCACGGCCTCACCTCCACACACCACCGCTTTACCTCTACACACCACGGCCTCACCGCTACACACAACCGCTTCACCGCTACACACCACCGCTTTACCTCTACACACCACGGCCTCACCGCTACACACCACCGCTTCACCGCTACACACAACCGCTTCACCGCTACACATCACCGCTTCACCTCTACACACCACGGCCTCACCTCTACACACCACCGCCTCACCTCTACACACCACCGCCTCACCTCTACACACCAGCGCTTCACCGCTACACACAACCGCTTCACCGCTACACACAACCGCTTTACCTCTACACACCACGGCCTCACCGCTACACACCACCGCTTCACCGCTACACACAACCGCTTCACCGCTACACACCACCGCTTCACCGCTACACACCACCGCTTCACCGCTACACACCACCGCTTCACCGCTACACACAACCGCATCACCGCTACACACCACCCCACTACCTCTACACACCACCACACCCCCGCTACACACCACNACCACCCCTAATCCACTCCACTACTACGCCATGACTCTAGTTCGTCAAACGTAGACCCACTTCACCCACCAGTTTAGACGGACACAATAGACTCCTACTTCAGATTGCACGCAAAAGACTCCTCGTGTTGACAGAACACATTAGTCTCGTGTAGATAACATACAGTGGACTCCGCGTGTATATGGCACACCATGGACTCCTCGAGTAGATAGAACATATTAGACTCGTCGTGTAGATAGCATGCAATAGACCCTTCTTGTAGATAGCAGAACAAATTTTTATTTCAGGATTTCAAAACTTGAGAACAGAGAAAGCCGCATACAAAAGAACAAACAATGAGAAGTTAAACACTTCAAATATATATATATTTGAACTTCCTGGTGATCTTTGTTCAGATTGGTGC